TATGAAGGTCTTGTAGCTTTGGATTTTGGACCTTCAATTATCTAATTGGTCAAATATGACGTAATTAATTATAACGATTGGGTACTCAAGCCAAATGATGCAATCGTAATTTTCCGATCAGGTGTGATTTGGTTATATTTTGTTGACACATAGATTTGGTGATATTTTGTTGACACATAGAACCAGTTATGTTTTGGTTCTATAACTGTTATTATGTGTCAACCTCTCTCTCTCACCATTTGAGTGCAATAGATATGTGAACCCAATAATTAGTTAAAGATATAATATAATGATATTATTAATTTAAAGAGCAAAAATTCTACAATAGTCTTACACAGGTACTGTGAGGTTCACCAGAAGTATATTGTGAACTCAGAACATTTTCAGATTTTTGCGTACAGTACAATGGTTTTATTTTGCTGTACTATATTTAGTACAAATAGAACAGCTTTGTAAATAGATTAATTGGAATACTTATACATTGATTTAGCCTTCACAAATGAAATAACTTTTACCTAATCGCTGGAGGCCCTCCAGCTGGTTGAGGTCCCTGGATATAAAAGATCTAATTGCTTATATATTTGTAAAATCCCATGGATTCCCTATAGACACATAAGCCATCAGAAATATGTCATGAAAATATAGGCCAACATAGTCTGTCCTTGACTAATCTATACTGACCCCGTCTCTTCACAATTGTTTTCGATGTCCCAGGGCAACCATTCACATTCATGATCAAAATATAGGACACATTCTTATTGAGAGCATGTAATGGAAGTTCCTGGTTGAAATGAGTGGAAGGAAGGAAAGAAGTGAAGGAATGGTTTGGCCATTCTGAGACTCTGATCATATGCCATTTGCAATGCTAGGAATAATATCCGCGTTTCCGAATACTCGTTGCAAATCCAACATTTACACGGATGGGCTTCAAGTTTTTCCAATCTGAAGAACTTTCTTTGTCAGCCGAATATAAGTAAGTCTTGCCCAGTACCCTACATACTCAATTATTACTGCCCTGAAATGATTGGTACAAGCCGTTCTCAATTTGAAATGTTGCTAACCTGTACAATGAAATCTTGCACTTGCAGGTTCAATACCAGCAGGGTGATAATTCCCGTTGATGATGTGGACAAATGGACCGCCAGAGTTTGTTTTGTTTGTTTCTGTAATTTCATATTGATTATAACTTGTTTTTATTAAAATATCAAATACCGACTTATAGCATAAAAATTAAACATGACTGTCTACCAAGAAGTAAATGTGATTTCAGAAGAAAACATGTAGTCCCATTTTTCCATCGTCAGTATTATAAAAATTATTGCCGAACCATCGGGATATTTCAAACCTGCTCACACTTGCCCGATACGCATGCGAGACTGGCAAGAAAAGTGTACACAATTGTTCGGATGTAACGAGTAAAACAGAGGTCCGCCATGTTTATATATTGTTATGCACGTAGAAAAACGTTAACAGTTGGTTGTCGGTTGTACCATTTGAGAGAATGCATTAAGACTTTGTTGAGAAGCGTTCCCTGGTCTATGTTTAATTTTATGCTTGACGAAAGTTTTGAAAGGTTTTCGTTAAGGGTTTGTTTTACTCACAGTTACCTTAACATCATATCACCAAAAAATCAAATAAGTCCTTTCCGAAAAATCAAATAAACCCTTTCCGAAAAATCAAATAAGTCCTCCGAAAAATCAAATAAGTCCTTTCCGAAAAATAACAAAAATTAAATAAACCCTTTCCGAAAAATCAAATAAGTCCTCCGAAAAATCAAATAAGTCCTTTCCGAAAAATCAAATAAGTCCTTTCCGAAAAAATCAAATAAGTCGTTTCCGAAAAATCAAATAAGTCTTTTCCGAAAATGTGTTTGCGGTGAAACAGTTAACGAATTAATAGTAGAATGACGCCACTAGATAGGTTATTAAGTGCATGACGGTACCTGGTCGGGGGGTTCGTGTTACCCCACTTTCCCCTACAACATTATTTAGACGACTAAAAAACTTCATACCTGTACAGAACAGGTTGTATTTCAGCCTACAGTGTTAGAGCAATGCCCTACACAAGAAAACAATACTCTTCTGCTAATATCATTTTATTAGATAACGTGTTTTTAATTTTGTTTATTATCTTCAGACTTCCAGTATCGTCAAGAACAGAACTTAGAATTAATTTCACAAAGATAAGAAACTGTCGAAACAGCATGCCTTAAGACAGAAGCTTTATTGTCTGTCAAAACACACTCAACAGTAAATGAATAAATCCCTATCTTTACCAGCATTTGATGAGTAAAATGGAAACACTTGAAATGATTCCAATGAAGCTAAGAAGTCCCGTCTAGTGCGGTTTGTGTAAATTATTATTCCCATTGCTAACAATTCTTAATAAAATAGGGACTTTACTCGATTGATCTCCACCGGTTTGTTTTTGAGTATCACTATACAATCGTAGGAAACCCGAAATCTAAGATTTCTGTTGATTTAAAGATGTTCCTGGATATTTCCAGGAATGTGATATTTGTACAGTTAAACGTTGAACAAATACAGACTGACGTAAACCAATGTCTTTCTACAGATAAACAGGCTCTAGTTTCACATCCATCGGAAACCAATCTATTTGTCAACTAATGATACCTTTAAATAAAGAACTTTCGGGCAATGTCCTAAAGAAAAGTCTGTATCTGGTCAAGTATAGGCAGGTGATTATATCGCAACAATAACCAGGATTAGTCAATGACCTTAATGGATTCTCATAGGTGATTGACCTGGTAGTTATTTAAATTTCCTCATTTGGATGAATTACATCACTTATTGGACACAATGCTCAAACTGTGCACCTCAAAACTCTTTTAAAATAAAAATGTATGGGACATCTTTATTTATAATATTTCTGCACCAACCAGGCTACTCAAGATACGCATGCGCCATGCAGTCTGCTATGAAGTAAAGTTTATCTGGACAACTCTTCTTCGAATCTCCGGACATTTGACTTCGAACGACCAGACACAAATTCAAATTTATTGATGTGAAAAAAAAGCGTGGGAAATAATCGGTTAATGTTTGTGTTAAATCACTTAAAAAGAGCTCATAGTTGAATTGCTAATTATTTAATGCTACAATGACGATAAACTCTTCCTGGTTGAATTTGGAAGGGCTTTATAGTGAAATAAGGGTACGTCTGGGTTTCTGGATTCTTTTGATATATACTAATGTCCAAAAGTCAGTATACACTGTGCATTTTGTCCTGCTTCAAACAAAGTCGTTTTTCCATTGTATGCGGTATTTGAGTACAATGTCCATTTGTTTTGCCTTTTATTTGCTTAGAAATATTGAGTTTGGACGCACGAGACATGTTCAGTGTAGTTTTATCACATGTTTTTGATTTAAACAAAACTTAGTCATAATTTTAGTGTGTATACTTTCTTTTGGACATTAGTATACATACTGAAACTTATATATGAAATAACAATTACTGGTTTATTAACGGTTTGTTTTTATTAAACCAGTAACTGTTATTCAAATACACAATATAGGTTTCAGTGTGTTACTCTCTAATAATTAAATATCACTCAAAAATTTTATTGACATAAAGATCAATAGTTATTGTAGTACACTATCTATATACTTTACAACGATAAAGTCATTCTAAGCGACACCAATTTCTCTATAAAAGTATTTATAAAAGGCGACGTTGTTTTCCACCATAATTTAACATTTAAAAAGGGAAGCGTGATGCGAAGTTTTGTGTCGTGCGTTGCATTTTTCAAAATTCAGCCACGAGGCCGATCACAACTGAAGCAATATATAATACATTTGTAACTGTCTGATTGTTAGGGGTTGGTTGCTACACTAGGGTTGGTCTTCTGCAGAAAGGGTAGTGTGTGGGTGTGTGTGTGTGTGTGTGTGGGGGGGGGGGGGGCTAATGGTTTAACGCGTGCGCCTTTAAGCCACAAGATCTGTAATTGAGTCAAGTGGAATGGTTTCAATTCCCCGGTTGTACATGACAAGGAGTAGGGTAGCCTGTCGAACCTCGTCGGTTTGTGTCGAGTGGAATTTAAACCCCATCTCTGTCTCCTCCCTCCCTCTCTCTCCGACTGTCTCTCTCACTCTCCCTCATTCTTTCTCGTGCGCCGAATACAATAGTAGATAATTAAACCTATTATATTTATATATATATATATATATATATATATATATATATATATATATATATATATATATATAAAAATAACTTACGTCGCGTTTAAAACATATTGAATAAAGTGAGCGTACTATAGTGTCGTACATGTGGGAGCCACGGTGGCTAGGTGGGTAAGGCGCTGGCTCGCTAGCCCTGGAGGTCGGGTGTTCGATCCCTGCATTGGCCGAGAAAGTTCATCCCGATTTTCCGACGTGGTTTCCCCTTGTCAGTGATGCAGGGCGGAGGACTTGACAAGGACAGCTGTCTAGTCCTTCGGATGAGACGAAAAACCGAGGTAGCACACTGTATGGCGTATGCCCGTCTTCATTAGCCCAGTATAGGAGCAGAACAGTAGGACGATAAACCCCATTTCATTTCATTTCGTCGTGCATTTGCAGATCAATCTAATTTGATAAATGACCGGTCGAGCATCTGATTGAACCAAGGACAAACACCTACAGTGATTGACTTAATACACGTTATCAGCTGATCACTTAGATAACCGATAGTACAACCTAACAATCAATTGTTGGTACAGCACGCGCACATAGTTCTTCGTGGCGATCAGAATGTAGTATTCCCGCCACGCGCCAAGTACACGCACGATATGTAGCATTAGTACAAGGGCTGAGAGAAGTTATTGGAAATGTTTAACAGAAACACCACTTTCTTCACTTGACTGTAAATTGTTTCATTTATTTCTACCGAGATTAAACTTCAATCTACCGAAAAAAACAACAAACAATATTAATGGAATATTTTTCTTGAAGGGTTGATTATGATTAAAAATGTATAAATCATCCCGTGATGTAATCTGGAGTTCGGTAACATCAAAGTAATCCAAAGCTTTCTGTTTTGATCCGAATGGATAATCCTTAAGAATGCAGTTTTAACACATTAATCGGCAGATTTTCAAAACAGTTTCATCAGTCTAAACCCGACAATCGGGATATTCCCATATTTACATATCAAGGTAAGTGTCATATATACTTCTTTAAAGGAGCTAAATCGCTCATATTTGGGACCTAGAAATGGACACAAATGGGTCGCAACGCATATAATAATGTAATATGAATGTATATAAACTGATTTACATTCAATCGTTTCCGTTTTTAGTCTAGCGTCTGATTATTCCAGTCTCCACCTAGTATTTATTGCGCATGCTCTCCAGATAAGAATATGGCGTCGCCGTTTGACATGACATGTGGAATATTTCTAGACTTGTCCTGAAACGCATTATGGTACACGATTCGTGCACCAATGGTAAAATGTTCAGAAGCCCATCTTTTCCTTTCCCGATAAGACCACAACGTCTATGTTGATTTAAATTGTCAAATAACTCGTGGTTTCAATGTCGAAGACTTTGGATGCGATTGAGTTAGAGACTTAGCTACTTTAAGTTGTCAGGTTTTGCGGGTATACGAACCCTTAAAGATGGGCATTATGTAAGATTTAGATAAAGAGCTGGCCGTCCTTGCTATAGTTTAAACATGAATATATTGAATCTTTATATTCAAATTACCTTATTTCTAACACAGAGTACAATTTTATGGATACACATTTATTGAGTTTAAACTAAGCGATGTTTCGACGAGGACACCTTACTTCTAATGGAAAATGAATATATTGAAATTTTTTATTCAAATATTTTATTCTGACCGAAATAATGAAACAGTCTAAATTGTCTCGATTGTCAATTACCATAATAAACGAAATCTCGATTTCCATTCCTTCAATTCGTAGTCTCCGTGAGAAATGAACTACACCGGAAAATCCTGATAAACTTTCTCGAACACGGGACCTCCAGGTTAGCGAGCCAACCGGGGCTCCAGTCTCCGTAGGTGGATCCATATTAACATTTAATAAAGATATCGCGGGCGTTGTCTAATCCACCCCCTATCTTAGTCATCCATGTCATGTTAATACACGTCCAAATAATATATAGTATTTGAAACAAGCAAAACAGAAATACAATAGCAATATTTAGCTCTTGCGTAATGTCTCTTTGAGGAGAATGCGGTTGCACTGCGTTCTCGGAAAATGTGTCCTAATATTGCACACGGGACCATAGTAATTAACTGTATGTTAGCCTCAGAATAACCCACGAATTGTGTTGAATCCATTAGTTTTCTTCCTTAAGTTGGCAGAAAATATTACTGTATTTGAAATTAGTTCATTAACTCATTGCCTGCAACCAATTGACTTCAGAGTAAAACCTGGAATTCTTGATTGAGGATAAATTAATAACAGCTGAAAACTGTTACTGCAAAGTTTTTATACAAACTTCCCGAATTTTATAGCTCTAAAGTATGCATTGTTTTAAACTTTCTTGTGTTAAATTGCAGAATCTTATTTAAAATATTAACCCCATTTTGAAGTTTTTATAACCATTTCGTGAATTTGAGCACTCTAACGTATACAGTTCATTTATTAAATTTATGAATGTTACTAAAAATATCGTAAATTCGAGCACTATGACACATACATGTTTGCATTTCATTTATTAAATTTCTGAATGTTGCTTAAAATTGTAACCGAATTTTGAAGTGTTAGTTCCTAGCGCAATATGGTATTTATAAAATTTAAATTTTTCATTAAACATGAGAGTTATGTACTTAGATTTCATAAAATTGTAATAAGCTTATAAAGTCTGGTACCAATTTGAAATGAAAAATCTTTTGAAAAGGTGTTATACGTAACAGAAAATATTATCACACAGTCAGGTTAGCATACGAAACACACACTGTCTGTCCAAAATTACCTTCGTTTGAAAACAGACAGGAAGCTAGTTGACCGACATTTTAATTCCTACCTCGACCATTTCAGTCGAAAACACAAAGTTTACCTGGAGAACTTTGAGAAGTATTCATTCCGTTTTCATTTTCATATTTAATGAAATTGAAAATTATTATTTAGTCTTGAAAACAGACAGGAAGCTAGTTGACCGACATTTTAATTCCCACCTTGGCAATTTCAGTCGAAAACACGAAGTTTACCTAGAGAACTCTGAGAAGTATTCATCCCCCTTTCATCTTCATATTTAATGAAATTGAAAATTATTTTTTAGTCTTGTAAAAGAGTTAAAAGGATTAGAATCGCATAACAAAATAGTGCACTATTTTTTCAATATGGCGGCCATTCAGTTCAAAGATCTATTCTCAAAGTAGATAGTTCTCTATATGCAGAATGTCAAGTTGGAAGATGTTTCCTCATCTGGATTTTTTCTTTAAAAGATCTGTTAACGAAGATAATAACTTTTGCTATACTTTGTCTGTTGCAATCTAATTAACGAGTGATCTGTATTTCGATTTTAATGTTGGTTGGCATTCAGTACCTGAAGATAAACTACTTCGTTTGGCTTTGAAGTCTAAATTTAGTCATTTGATTGAGTAAATATCATTATTTTCTAACCAAAATGTCTATACATTAGCTAGATGAAAGGGCAAATCTCGCCAATTGAACACAGTCCTGGTGTTATTACAGCTCCCTCCCCTTCCCTCCTCAATAGAATCATTAATTAAAAAGTTAAAATTGTCAGGTTGTTTATCTACTGATAGTGGCAGGATATAATCGTCTTATCATTCTAAAACACCTGATACCATTTACTTGGAAAGGTCACAGGTGCGGATCCAGGATTTTTTGCAGGAGGGAGTTTGCCAGGTTCCTGTTGAGGGGAATTTGACAGTTGACAATGCATGATGCCATCATCGTCTCCAAATTACGTAGGCATACATGCACACTTAACTTATTACAGAGAGAAATCTAACACACAGTTTGACGTCAATTTTTGTTATGAATTAGGATCACATTGTGATTCAATTTCATTGATGCAAATCATTAATTGTGATATCACATATGTCTATATCATTATCTCCCGCTTTGAATGCCCACCCCATCCCACCATCTTACATTTTTTTTATGTAGCTGAGCGGGGCGGGGCGGGGCGGGGCGGGGCGGGGCGGGGATGGATCCCCTCTTCTGGATCCGCCCTGGGTCAGATAGCTAATGCGTTTTGTTATACTTTTGCAGCATTTATTTGGATCATCGATAGTCATTTTCTTGTTGATTTGATCTAACCCCGAGTTCTCTAGTTTTGCTAAAGATCCTTGCGCGCAACCGATTTGTGAAAATAAAGAAGTAACATGTTTAGTCTTTAAACGAACTGCTTTTTCTTGAATGGGTTTCACAAAACTTATAGAATAGTTTTATATCAATAATTCGCTTGTGGTATTTACTATTAGCAGTTAACCAGAGAGAGAGAGAGAGAGAGAGAGAGAGAGAGGGGGGCTAACATATGGTTCAATTTTATTTCAATAATTCGCTTGCGCGTAGGGGTCTTTAGCAGTGGGAGGAAACCGGAGGACCCGGAGATTGGAAAGGCAACCCTACTCCTTGTCATGTACAGACCTTATAATACAACGCGCACGCGCAAACTATTCGGCCATCCACACCCTACCCCCTCAATCGAATTAAGCGAAAAGTACCTTGGACTACGCATCTTACTGAACAGTAATTGATGGTGGACTATTTTTGTTTAGAAAATTTCATTTCTGAAATGGAGGATAAACAAAAGTCCAGAAGCAAGGTGAATTCCAGATTGCCGACACAAATCTTTACATCCTTGATGCAAAAAAAACATTGGTTCACATTGGCGTTTGGGTGTTACAGTCGTTATAGAAGAGATAGAGAATCTCCTACTCGTCTTTTTTTAAATCAAAAAAGACGAGTAGGAGATTTTATTTATCACTCAATCCTTTCTTCCATGCACAAATAAATAAATATAATTCTTAGCTATAGATTTCACTTTTACTGAACCTGATTACATTACGGCGCAGTGATACATAATTTTTGACAGCAATTCAACCATTGCAAAGTCCTTTATATTGACCCAGTATTTCCATGAGAGTCAATTAAATAAAAATAGTTCTTTTTTTTTAAAAAAAAGTTACTTTTAATAAAAAAAATGAACTTTTCCTTGAAAATAAAAAAAGTAGTTCCTTTTTGATTGCCCAATTAAATTCATATAAAGCGATAGATTATGACATTTATCACACTGTAGAATGTATTATTGGATGATGAAACTATTTATACGACTGCTTAATTGTACAGTGTATGTAACTGTAAAATGTTTACAATGGTTTAAGTTTATTACGCGGTTTTAAGTATTTCGAGATTTTGTATTTGAAAAGTATGTGATATGGACAGTATAAATCGTTTACGTGCTTATGAATAAGGTGTACGGCTTGTTTGTGTGAGAGAAAAAGAAAATGAAATGTTAGGGGTTTATTTAAAGTATAATAGGAAGAAAGCCACCTAAGCTGTTTAAAACTATCGTGCTTGGTTTAACGATTTCGCTCGTGATTAATCAAATAATTTGTACGATAACCACTCGCTCGACACAGTAAACTGGAAGTGTGCCAAGGAGTAGCTTCGAGCATATAATTTTAACGAGACTATCGTGTAGACGAAATGAAGTGAAAAAATGGGGTTGAACGTTCTACCTTTGTGTATCAGCCGGGCTAATGAAGCCTTTGGAAAATTTTGAGCTTATGCTAACGGATATACGCCATACAGTGTGCTATGAAGAACATTTTGCCCGGACAGCAGCGCTATGTCCTATTTTTATTTTGAATTCAGACTGTCAAGGGTTATTTTACGTGCACGCTAATGTGTACATTGGACCTTAGGTTTTCGTACCATCCGATCGACTACGCACTTCCCTTGCCAGCCCCGCTGTCCAGCATCACTGAGATGTAAGAACTGATACAGATATCGATCATACAGTAATCAATATACAAGAAAATACTTAATCAGGCCTATCATAATAGGGTCATGGCATTGTTTAAAGAATCGGGGAGTGTGTGTGTCTGACGTGTGTAACGTGTGTGTCTTTGGGCGGTACAGGGAATGTTATCCTGGAGGAGGTTTGGGATTTGAACAGCTTGCGCTTTGTGCTACAATTGTGACGTTTAC